AGGAAGGAAGGAAGGAAGGAAGGAAGGAAGGTAGTTTGCATGCTTTAATAACAGTTGTCCAATTGTCTTTTCATTTGGGGCATTAACTGGAAAACTACTGAAAATCAGTTTATGTCATATTTATGCCAAACAGAGTAAAAGGTGTAGATTTGCATTTTTAACTTCTTAATATATAGATTATCTATATATATATATATATCAGTAAAGGTGCTAAGAAAGAATTCTAGCAGCCACTGAGAGCTATCAATAGATAATTCTCAGTCAGCAGGAATTAAGTATTTAAGAAAAATTAATTCAATAATCAGAACTGAATGACCACTGAAAGATGGATTCCTAGCTGGTAAAAGACAGAATGATTCTTATAATAGTAGCAATTTCTCTCTTCTCCAGAAAAGGAATATGCATTTAATATATCTACTTTGTGATGTTTATCTCAAGCTCTTCCACTTGAGTAGGGGTAGGGGCATCAAATTTATATAGATGTGCAAAAACAGAACTGGATAACCTGATGTATCCATAGCTTTGTGCTGGCTATACTTTATACACACATGCACGTGTGTACACACATTCTGATATTCTCTGGGCAATGATTCTGTACAACAGGTATGGAGATAGCATTCATTAAGAGACACTCAAAACAGTTCACAACCTCTTGCCTGTAGTATATTCAAAACAATAGAAAGGAAGCATTGAAAAAAAATCTTTGTTTTCTAGAAGTTGTAATATTTACTAAAGCAGCAAGAATAAAGCAGATTAATCTGAAACTAATACAAAGTAATGAACAGAATTAGAGGCAAATGGACAGTTATTCTGGTCCACTTTCCAAGTAATTTTATACAGAACAGGTAAATAGAATGTGCAAAAAATCTAAAGACATTCACATTTTAGTAGTTAAATTTTTATTTCCTTTAAAATTATTTTTTCTTCTTTTCCTATAAAAGGCATTCAGTGATAGTTGATCTGCAATAATTCTGGGTGCTTGCAGATTTGTTAAAATGAAACAAAGGAAAACCAAAAAAGGTACCCCTAATACGAAACATATGAAAGTGCTCTGACTGGGTTTTTCTAATTTAGGATGGTGTTAAAGCTAAGTCCCACTCCAGAGATTTTTTTGCCAATGTGTTTGTTTCATGTGTGCTATTAGCTCATATCAATTGTGTTGAAAACCCATTCAGTGAATTTCTTCAGTTTTTCAGAGGCATTGTGCGATTCCTCTTGTAATCGTAAGTTATCTTCCCGTAAATGTTGTACTTCAGCCTGAAGATTGGCTTTGTCTTCTTTTTCCTGGGAGGTGACCAAAAGACAAAAGATGTCACAGGTGGATTTTACACCATAAATAATACTGGCATCATAAGTTCAGATGTTTATTATAAAGGTATTCCAAACCAGTCCTGGCTTTTTCCTCTTAAATTGATGGGAGATATTTTGTCAGTTTTTCTAGGTATATAGTATTTTTCTTCCTCTCCTTCTAATATATGCTTTTGGGACCTGTTAATAAATCTTTTTTTATTTCTAAAGCAAGACTGAGGAATCCCTATCTTAAAAATATCATTGGATTTCACAAGATTTGGGTGAGCTCATGTGATTTTGGCAATAACAACAACAGCAACCACAACAAAAGAAATCTGGAACACTTAAAAAAGAAGCTGAGGAGATAATCAGGGCAGCTTGAGAACAAGACCTGCAAACTAATACCATCAAAGCCAAAACTGAACCTATTTTCAATAATGTCAAATGCTGATTATGTAAAATTATGGATGAAATTGTACATTATCTCAGGGTAAAATTACTTAGACTATAAACACTCCCATTATAGAGTTGCAAAAATGGTCCATTGGAATTTATGCAGAACATTCAGCTCGACTGTTTGTAAAAAGTATTGGGACTGGGTACTGCAAACTAGGCAATATTGAAATATTGTGAGATTTCAAAATTCACTTAGAACATAATACACCAAGTATTACTGTTATGGAAAAGAAGAAAGGATAGTTCACTGATGTGGCAACCCCTGGAGACAGTTGAACTGGAGAAAATAACAAAATATCGTTATTTACAACTGAGGTTGAAAGATTATGGAGGAAAAATTGATTATCATACCAAATGTAATTGGAGCTCTTGGTGCAATACTCAAAGGATTCACCAAATTAGAAAAGTTAAACTTACTGGACTGGACACTACTTATTTTGCAAAATAACTAAGCTATTTGGAACAACCTATATTTTATGGCAATACCTCCATGACTGTTAGGTCCATGGTTAGGGTGTGAATCAAAGAAGTCAATACCTAGTTGATGGATGTTGCTTAAGGTGCTCACAGATGTTTTGTAGCTAATCCTTAATATTCTAAAGCGAACTGCAAAAGCAGACTTGTCAAGTGACCGAGACCAAACCAAACTGAGCCAAACTGAATATTTAGTACAAGCTGGCACTGAAACTGACATACTTACCTTCTTTAAATCTTCCTGCAGCATTCTCAGCATACTCTCCAGCTGGCTCACTTTAGAAGCAAGAGAAGGAGGGGATTCTTTACTGCAGGAAGGATGAGACAGAAACTGAGTTGCAAACTTTTCTTAATATTTATTTCTTAATCACTTTATGCAGTGATTTATTTTTTAGTTTGGTGTTACATCATAATAAACCATGAAAAGGATCAGCAGGAACAAAAAGCTCTGCTAAATTAGATCACGGGTCTATCTTCTTCAATGTTCTAATTTTAATATTGGCTATTGAAGTTTTCTGAGAAATTTCCAAGCAATGGTGGCCTTCTTAATAGTTGTTTGTAAGAACACACACACACACGACTGATTTAACAAAACACTAATTTCACTTTTATTTTTTTAATAACATAAAAATTTATACTCATTGTCACATACTATAGTAAAGAATGCTCTCAACCTGCTGCATCATGTTAGGCATGATTATGTTACATCTGTATTCAGCACATTGTGGTTAGAGAATGTGAGCGATCTCCTAGTTCTCCAGTCCTTTTATAGCCTGAATGCAGAATTTAGTTCAACAATAAATTTATTTCATGGTTAATTGATGTTTAGAAAACAAGAAGAATTAGCACTAGTTCTGTGGAGGTAATTATTAATTTCATATTCTATTTTTCACAATAAGTAAGGGTAGGAACTTTTAAAATATACTTGGCATATGATGGTAATAACTTAAGTGCTCTACTTTCAGGTTACTTATAATTTTTAGCCAAACCTTTCTAGAGTTGATACTATACCTTTTTAAGACTTAAAAGCTGTATCTGCTCTTTGTTGTAAATAGTACATTAAAATATCATTTGTCTAGAACATACCTCTCTTCTTCTCCATTAATTACACAATCACTAAATGAAATGAACTTCAGATTCTTAGATAATGTCTCAAACTTATAACCTAAAATATATATCCAGAAATGTAGTAAACTCTGTCCCCTTATGCTGAATTCACACTTTCAGTTTTCCATAAGTCAGAATGCATATATTCTAAATTTCTACAATTTACAGATTCTATTGCACAAAATGATTTTCTGAGCCTTCTTAAAACGGTCATGATAGTTCAGCATATTACTTACCCAGTGTAAGGCTTCATCTGTGCAGGGAGCTGGTCTTCAGCTTGATCGTTACTGGAAGCAACACTGACAGGCCTGTGGTTTTCATCACTAGTAGCAAAATAGGATGCTCGCTGGACTGGAGAGAAAAAGATAAACGCATATGCCAATGTTCTTTTCATTAGACCATAAAGAGATGATGCTTTACCATGGGAACAAAAAAAAAAGGCTGACCAAAAAAAAAAAAGTAATTTTCTGTAGCAAAGCCAAGAAAGGAGCATCAGCTGAAATGTAGTTTGGACTGCACAAACTGCCTCTGGTAGCACATGGAAGTACTTTAGGAGGCTGCAAAGAGAAATTGGTAAAGCAGGGCTTCTCCATAACATTTGCCCTGAAAATTAACTCCATTTGGCTCTTCCTCTTCCTGGAATGCCTTGAATCTATCTAGGTATTATACAAAATGCTACTTAGAAATTGGTACTTGAGTTTCATTGTTTCCTCTTCCTTTTTTTCTTTTTGCAATTGTAAGGTGTAAACCAAGAGAGCATTTTTTGCAAAAAAACCCCTGATTTTATATAAGCCTCTCTAGGCACATTTTCAACTAAAAAAGGATACACAAATATTTAAATAAATAAATATAAGTAAATAAAGAAGCTATACCTAATAACGGAATGCCAAGTTTTAGAAAGATAAGACTGAAAATCTAATTATATTTACATTAAATTGTGCAGAGCATTACAGTAAAAATATGTCATAGTAAAATTAAAATCAGTAACAGGAGCTGAAGATCTACTCCTGGTGTAATTGCCTAACTTTTTAACTTCTTTCCCACACTTTTGTCTTTGAGTTATGTTTGGAACCTGTTCTCAGTAAGGCCAGGTAATTTCTGGAATCTAATTAATGTACAGGTAATTCTTGTTTAGCAACCACAATTGAAACCTGTGAAAGCTGTGTTGTTAACTGAAGTGGTTGCTATGTGGGAAATCACGTGACCGTGAATGTGCTTTCTTTTTCCCCAAACCATTGCCCTTTAATGCTCACCCTGGCGCTGGGATAATTAGCAAGAAGAGAATTAATGTTTGTATTTATATTCGTTAGAGAGGAAGGGATTACAAGACAGTAAGCAGGCACACAGTGGGGAATACACATCAAAAGCAATACACTGATGCCGGCAACTGTAAATGCACTATGTAAACAGCCTGGGGTATTCCCCATTGTGGCCTTACTTACTCTCTTGTAATCCCTTCCTCTCCAATCTCTCTACTCTGCAAGGGTAGGGGGAGAAAAACAACAGGTCAGGAACAGGACATGATTGAGGAATGCTGCAAAGGTCATAAATGTGGGCATTGGTCATAAAGCCACCTAGAGTAACGTAAAAATGATATGGGCGGCTATATAAAGCGAATGAATGAATGAATGAATGAATGAATGAATGAATGAATGAAGAGTTATACTTTCAGCACTGTCGTAACTTCAAATGGTTGCTGAACGAGACAGTCAATAAAGAAAGGTCTACTTGTATTACATATGCAAACCCAATTTGTACAGTCTTTCTCATCCAAAAGGGGGAAAAGGTAGACCAGTTTACAATCAGGTTACAGATTATTTTAGAAATACACCGAAACATGGCATGAACAAAAGACTGCATGTCAGCTGTATCCTTAATGCGGAGAAACAATCCACTTCAAACCACTATGGAAACAAACTCCTACAAGTCATTGTCTGATATTTCAATAAATCATAGGTAAGATTAATCACAGTCCAACAGAAGTGAAAGTTTACCTCGCATTCGCAATTGAGCTAACGTTTTTCCTTCAACAAGACACCAGCGTATTTAGAAACTTTACTCTATGCGAACTAAAGCTGAAGCCACAAAAAGAAAACATTCGTGGCATACAAGTTCATGTATTTTGAGAACATGAGTTCGCACACTACTTTGGTGACACATTTCAGCTGTGATCAAAATACAGCTAAAAGTTCTGTGTTCCTTTTACTCTTTCTGGTCTGGTGGCAAGAGGCTGTGTTTTGCAACCATGTATTTCTACAAAAGCAATTGTAGAATTCATAGTGAAACAGAGATTGAATTCAGTAACACTAATAATAACTGAAGCATATAAACAAAAGAAAGCAAACAGCATTTCAACCATTGCAGATGAATTTGGGTTTCAGAACCGAAAATACTAAGCAATGAAATATATAACAAATAAAAATTCATAAGTTGGGGTGTGAACATCATAAATAATGAACTGCAAACTCTTACCTTCAAAAGCTTTGGCAGCATCTACCAAATTTGACCAATCTAAATCCGAAGCTGAATCAGGCAAGGGCATGAGCCCTGGATCTGGCATCGGCTGCCTTCTCTGCTCCTGGATATCTGTGAGGGAGCTGTCAGAGGCGGAGAACTCTCCTAAACCACAAGGGGTGGAAAAAGAAAAAAAGGAGCAGTTACGACAGACATTAAAAGCAAATAATCCTGTTCTTCATTAGAAGACAGAACCAAGACTGAATGGGATTGTTCTTTTTTAGATGAAACAAACCTTCAAGTTGGCCTTGCTTTCTACTGAAGAAGAATTAACTCTCAAGGATATGTTTCCCCCTCTGCCAATCAGAAAAGGATCAGCAAATTTCTAAATCCCAAGGTATTCATGAGTTAGGCATCAGGTTTATTTTGTTTTCCTACAAATGTTACCAGATGAACTTACTGTAAAGCATCCCATTTATCGTTAAAAGATTATTAAAAATTGGCAAGTTGATTCATGATTCAAGTATGATTGACAATTCAAGCAAGGCTATTTCAAAGTTATATATTTAGCATTTTGAGATAAAACAGCTTTTTTCCAATTGCTTGATCAAATTGTTTCAGTGGACCAAGGCTCTAAAGAACTCTAAAAATAAAGGGTGCAACCACCCCAAAATAAAAACAAATCATTACCATTTATTCCATTTAGCTTTTCTGTTGAAATCAATGATAATTAAGAGTAAGTTACTTTAACTGAATAGTACAGTAATAGTAAAAGTATTAGTAGTAATAATAATGATGTATATTAAGATATAGTAGCTTACTATCTTACTCTGGACATTAATGAAAGGGTGTAATAAACTTTTTCAGTACTTTTTAAAGTGATCAAATTTGTAAAAAGAAAAATCAGCCAGTTTAGAGAGTAAAGAAGATAATCTTGACAGAGGTAGGCAGGCTTCACTGCCTAGGCAACAGGGACAAAAGTATTTTTTAAGTCCAGAACATCCAGACATCTCCATAATTCACTGAACTATAAGAAAGACGAGGAGGTACAGTCGTGTGAAAAACAAAGTACATCCTCTTTGAGTTCTGTGGTTTTACGTATCAGGACATAATAAAAATCATCTGGTCCTTAGCA